AGAGACAGGTATGTATCAAGGCACAGATCTGGGGAAGGGTACAGAAAAATGTCTGCAGCATTGAAGGTCCCAACGAGCACAGTGGTCTTCATCATTTGAAAATGGAAGATGTTTGAAACCACCAGGGCTCTTCCTAGAGCTGGCTGCCCAAACCAAACTGAGCAAAGGGGGGGGAGGGGCTTAGTCAGAGAGGTGACCAAGAACCTGATGGTCACTCCAGTGTTCCTCTGTGGAGATGGGAGAACCTTCCAGAAGGACAACCATCTGTGCAGCACTCCACCAATCAGGCCTTTATGGTAGAGTGGCCAGAAGGAAGCCACTCTTCAGCAAACGGCACATGAAAGCCCACATGGAGCACCTATGCCCCTTTCACACCAACGCGGTTCCAGGGCCGGTTCGGAGCTAGAGCCTGAAAATCACCGTTTTTTCCTGTTCACACCACAGCGGACCCACCTCTAAGCTCCGAAAACCGGTGTTTTTCAAGCACCCAAAAATTGTCGGTCTAGAAGCAAGAACCGCATACGTCACGCTTACTTCGGAGGGGGGTGAGATTAACCTGAGCTAACAGTTAAAGGCGAGTACGGCAAATAAAAGTTGTAACAAGCAGTAGTGCTGAGCAAAGTTCTGTTTATTTGTGCCTTACTTTGACCATCCGTTCGCTGTTATTGATCATTACTGAGAGCAGGCAGAAGAGTTGTTTTGTATGATAGCAGCTATCGGATGGAATCAATACATGGGCTGCACAGGTTGTCATGTCCGACTATCACAAGTAGAATCATAATGAAAAGGTAAAATGTGCCTGTAGAAAACGGCTTATGCAACAATAGGATAGCAACAAGTAGTCAAGATAGTCAGTTTAGCTTCGGTTGCTATGCTAACCTCACCCATTTTATAACAGAGAAACTTTCATAACAGCATTGTGATGCCAAACAGCGTCAATTCAGACTGAAACACATTCACTTAAGGGGAACTGGGGATATGTATCAGCTGCTTGTGTGACAGTCAGACAGTGAATACTTTGTATTGAGCTAACGGGAGAATACACTACGGTGGAAGAGCAGCACTACAGCGGTCGGTAAATGCCGCTGAAACACATTAATAAACAATGAACCACGGCACTATGGAGAAAAGTATAAGGTGGGAGAAGTCGTTCTAATTTAATCTGGCTTTGTGTGATTAAAAGCAACACGATCATCGGCCCGACGCAGCCCCCCTTGTTTNTCGTTGTTGGGTGAAAAGCAAACAGCTGTTTGCTGCGCAGCGCGAGCAGGCTCCCATGAGCGGGAGCGCGCTCCTTCACTACAGACTATCGCGCCACCTAACCATTCGCCAAAATGTTTTTAATACCAGCGGCAACCGGCCAAGCGCCGGGCAAAAAACAATCTTCAAATAAAAGAAAGTCACCGGAGGAGTTAAAGGAGAGTGACAGGGAGTATGAGAAGAAGAGAGAGAGAGAACGTTTCAGCCAGCTTGATCGATGGAGTTGTTTTCTACTGGTACAGTGACGCGTCCTAAAACCTTTTTATAATCTATCGATTAGATTTATGATTCGAAAATGATAAAAGTAGGGTAGACATGTGGAGATTATCCGGCTGAACAAAACGTGCATTTATCAAACGGGTTTGTTTTCCACAGACCTAATTTCCAGCTATTTTCCAAAACCCTGTGGAGAAGTCCCATTGCTTTTTTGTCGAGGGAACCAGCAGCATACTTCCTGGTTTTAGGACGCGTCATTGGCTGCACCTCTCAATATGATGCCAATATAAACAAGGTCTTCTGTCGGCTCTTTACATCAATGCCGACCTATGCTGACAAGTAAGTGAAGACAATATAAAGGTATTGGCTATAGGGAAATGTCCCAGCAGTTTAGGATAATGAAGGTTCTAATCTAATCTATTACATAGCCATTACATTTCTAACTCCTAATGACAGGAAGGCAGAAAGCGCATTATACAAATAATAATACTCATAATAGCAGACATTTTTTAGCAATGACCACAATATCATTATTTTAATAAACAAAATATGAACAATTGAGGAAAAACTGATGATTCAAATGTTGTAGTACAAGTAGTAAGTGCATAAATTACTATTGTAGCAAATGTGTTCATTTTCTTCATTATTCATATATTTTTTGGACGAATGCTCCGGGCCAGTGGTTACAATGGTGGGGCCAGTGATAATACAATTCCACCGGTCCGGAGGGCCAGTGGCATTTTACCCTTAATGTCTACCCCTGTCGCTTGTTAGACACTTTTATCCAAAGCGACTTACATACTCAATACTGTGCAATCCCCACAGGAGCAATTTGGGGTGAAGTGTCTCAGGGACACAACGACATGCTGACTGCAGTAGGGTTTGAACCTGTGACCCCCTGATCCCAACACCAAGGCTCTACGCCCCCCCGTTCACAATTTGTTTACCTTATTTTTTTCTCCAAAAGAACTGATAAGAGTACCGTTAAAACATTAACGATACCCATCCCTATCTTGAGTGCTTTATTTGAGAAATGAGTTGTGTGTGCAGGAACCTGAGGATCTGTTTGAGACCATCTCCCAGGCCATGCTGAACGCGGTGGACAGAGATGCCGTGTCTGGAATGGGAGTGGTCGTCCATGTCATGTAAGTACAGAGACGGTTTGATGTTGATTGACAGGTTTGCAGTGATTGACAGCCTTTTCTTCTCTCTGGCAGTGAGAAGGACAAGATCACCACACGAACCCTGAAAGCCAGGATGGACTAGAGTTTGTTTCTCCCCACACTTCAACACACACGTTTTGTATAAAAATAACAATGGTTGTTCTGTCTTTCTTTTCTTCAAAAAATAAACATGTTTAAACTACCGACATGACTGAAGTTATTGGTGGAAGAACTTTCACTACGTCGGCAATACTTAATTTTTGTATAACCAGGGTTAACAAGTTCACATTAAAGACACAAGCAGGGTTGACCATGGAAAATATAGTTATAACCTTTCGTTATTGTCTATAAGGCTGCTTTTTTCCAGCATGTCTCACTGATAACACTTAAACATTACCGTGTAGAACAAATTGAATACACTATGATCTGCCATTTTTTTGTTGTCTAAATATGTATTCTGAACACCCACCAACCATGCAGAGGCTTAAAATGATTTTGTTGTTCAAAAATAAGCTTCCAAGTTGGCAGTGGTGTAATTTAATGAACTACATTTACTTCGGTAATTTAGGGGGTACTTGTATTGCCGGTCTCTGCTACTTTATGCTGCTACTCCACTACATTTCAGAAAAGTGTACTTTTATTCCACTATTTGACACTTGTTATACTTTTACTTATTTACCGTTTTCCAAAAGTTGCTCCACATTGACATGTCAACATTAAAAAAACAGAACCATATTCTTGTTATGTTCAAAATTGAGCAGTTTATATGTATGCATTTGTGTATAGATGTTGCTTCTATAGATTTAGCAATACTGTATGTAACTATGGTCATGCTAATAAAGCTGTTGAATTGAAAAAAAAATTCATGTTGCTAATGAAAAAACAGACATTATGTAATACAACACAAGAGGCATTCTGCACAATTGATACTTAACTTTAGTAACATTTTCAACTCAGGACTTTGACTTGTGATGGAGTATGTTTTCACTAGTACTTTGTGTTATGTTGAGGATCTGAGTACTTTTCCACCACTACATGTTGCGGTGTGGGAAGTGTATGAATACGGATTTTTTTGGTCTCTGCTGGTTCGTTTATTTTAAAACAAAATGTTTTCGAAGTCTCAGTGCAGTATATCATTTAGGTGATTCTTACCTGCCACAATTACCCTACTCTCTGTTTAGTGGAATATTATTGATTCATGATAGCACTGTTATTTTTGACAATCTAAAAAACTAGCTTTGTCTGACGTTTTCCTCAGCATCCCTAATCTTCCTTAGTAGATGTAATATGGTGGTTGCCATGGAGATAGTAAGCACTGTGGTAAATTCTGAAGAAAAAATATTAGCCCAACAACAAACAAGATAAAACTCCCTTTAATATGCAATGATCATTTTCAAGTAACTTTTTTTTTCAAATGTCTGTTGGTAACAAAACAATACTGTATACAAACACAAAATTGCTACATTAATGTAAACAAGATATAAAAATGATCCTTATGGTAATAAAACATTTGCTGCAGAATTCCCCTTTTTATGTGAGTTTTTTTTCTTAGACCAAGCTCACGGTTCAAATTTCAAAAACAATATGGCAACGTAACATTCAAACACCAATGTTTTTTTCAGGTTTTGTTATTTTCGTCATAACAATCAGATGCTAAGTTCAGTGGTTTGATGTTTCAACTTACTGCTGGAGACTCATGTACACATCAGCCATGCATTTTTGATATTGCATTAATTTACTTAATACACCATTATATATTAATGTGTTTATCTCCTGTTGTCAGCAGTAATTTGAGTTACTTTGTTGTTACTGAGAGAGAAGCCTCATGGCAACTGTCAAAAGAGTTTGTCATGCAATCTGACCATTCAGCTCTGTGCAAGTTCTTTACATCTGTGTGTGTGTGTGTGTCTAAAAGAAACCGTAAGAACAACAACATGAAATCAAAGAGACTGTACTAACGGACTGTTACTGTACTGCTGAAGCTGACACTCGTTCAAGGCATTAGTGAGACAGTTTCCGTGCTGGCGTGAGGAGTAACGAGGAGCAGACATTTTTAAAAAAGAACAGGGAGATTATCGGGAAGTTGTTCCGAATTCAGCGAGCGGTTTCACGAGTTTTCCTTGCAGAGGACGAGGGAGGTGCGTGTGAAAATGTAACAGGCTCAGTGCATCCTTTCCTTCCAGACTGCTGCTGGCTGTGGGAGGATGCTGGTAGTTTTTTTTTTCCTGTTATGGGGCGTAGAGAGGCAGAGGGGAGAAGGATCCTACACTGAGGTGAAGGAGAAGGGAAATGGTGCGTGGCTGGCAGATGAGTCTATGATAAGATGTTGGACATGAACTCGTAGAATCGTTTGGAGTACTGCTCCGGGTTCACCGTCGAGATCTCTGCCCCCGCCTGACAGACAGACATAGGTAAATAAGGCAGAAAATCAGATGGATGGAGCAATACTAAATAAAAAAAATAATAGTATGGATGCTGGGTGGGGGTTCTATGAGATTATATATTTATGCTCTTTTCCATACCAAACTCCATTGAGAAAAATAGTCATTCTAACTCGAAGAAGGCAGGAGTTGCTGTTCTACAGCTGCGGTTTGAGTTATTGTGGGGCTGATAACACGTACTTTCTGCAGCGATAGACTTAAACAACTCTCTTTTGCGTTGAAGTAAAAATGTGTGTTTTTGGCAATGTGGTCTGGTGGCATTAGAGAGAGCATAGATAGCGACTTTAGTTCCACGTTAGAAAGAAATGTCTGACAGCAAAGTGAAGTGATGAAAATATTCTGAACATAACATTCACTAAAATGTATTTTTTTTACAGGTGAATGGTGGTAATTAGCTGCTGTGCTAGGTGTCTGCCATCTACTGTATTCACTGCTAGGATAAGCTCATACAGCCCCACTAACCCAACATCCAAACTACCCCTTTAATACATTTCATTAGTGTGTGGCATGGAGAACATTTCCATGGGCCTTGTGACATGATAATACAAATATTAAATACAACTTGATTATTTTTTATTAATTTAGATTATTTTTTAATGTCATTTTTGCCTCACATTTCAGTCAATCACATGCTCCCAGTCTATTTGAGCAAGCTCAGCAAAGCATCAATTATATTAAGGTTGTTCTAAATTAACTAGCTAGCTAGAATGTGAGCTGGGATGTATTACTCAGCATTAAAGTGAGTAGCCAGTGTTAACTTCAGCTAGCCGCTAACGCTTACTTCTGTAGCATTATGCTTTTAAAGATTTCCTAGAGAAACTAACCACTGGGTTAACTGTCTGTTTGGTTGTTGTAGCTACCTGTATGTAGCTCACATGCTAACTGGGAGCACATGTGATTGGCAATAATAATAATAATGATTAAAAAAAAGTTATTCTAATTGATACTTTGTTACTTGTTTGAACATAAAATTTAGATGAAGTAATCATAATGTCCTATTGATTTGTTTGAATTTTATAACATTTTGGGGAGCAACTGAAGTCGCATGTGAATGGCTACAAGTTGTTGTAGCAGTCTGGTGAAAACGTATAATGTAATTAAAAGTGAAAAAAACCAGACTATACATAAAACAGAATTATGGTAATACTGTATTATTGAATCGAGTGATAATAATGATTAAATAAAGATAAAATTACTCAAAACTTAATTTCCATACTGCTGGATGATGATGATGGAGTCTCTGTACTCACCCCGTGTTTCACAGTTTTGGCAGCATGTGCAGCTTTTTTCTTAGCGTCATAATGCGTGAGGATGTCGATGATAGCCATGAAGTATACTTCCTTCTTCACAGCACCTACAACAACACATCACAGGGTTTTACTCTCACCTGAGAATAACAAAAGCCCAGGCTTTATTTCACACATTTTCTAACACTGTTGTATAAGGACCGCAGCTTCATCTGTTAATCTGCTCGATAGACATAGACTGGAGTTATTCTTCCTACTTCCATCATTGTTTCTTCCTTCTTAACGAGATAAATGTCAAACATGATCCTCACAGTCGTGGCTCTTGATAGCGTAAACGTCCACAGAGGGGTCGAACTCCCCGGGGCCAAAGAACCCCCCGCAGTTCAGAGGGTTCCCGGGGCTGTCGGGGGGCGTCCCGAAGGAGCCGGTGAGCACGCCTCCGCCCATCCCGTCATTCTCGTACTCCTCCTCCTCCCCCACGACATCCATCTCCTCCTGCTCGGCCCGGTCCACGTCATGGATCCCCACCAGTAGACTGTAGTCCATGATCTTTAGGGTGGCCAGGAACTGACCGACCACACACACACACACACACACACACACACACACACACACACACACACACACACACACACACTTACACATCTGCCCTCCGTGGTCATACAGGTCTGAATTATTTTTTGGGGACATATCATGCTTATCTTCAGGTTCATATCAGTATTTAGTGCCTCTACAGTCTACTGTGACATGTCTCCATGCTTTAATGTTCAAAAAGCTCTTTGTTTTTCTCATACTGCCTGTGCTGCAGCACCTCTTTTCACCCTCTGTCTGAAACCAGAGCCCAGTCTGCTCTGATTGGTTAGCTGGCCCGCTCAGTGTGATTGGTCAACCGCTTACAAATGTGTCAGAAATGTCCCGCCCCTTAACCGTGTAAAAGCGTGTGTGGGAAAGAAACTCTGGGATTTAGCCTTTGCAGACCATTCACATGCACAGAAAGCTTTAGAACACACTACAGGAAAGGGAAACCCCCAAATAGCAGAATACATTAGGGCTGAACCGAATAGTTTGAAGCTCAATTCAAAAATGTACTTTCTTACACGTCTATTCAATTTTTTTAAAGCCTGTTTCTTTATAAAACTTTGGCTACATTTATTGTAAGAGCCACATGTAAGTTCTGTTTAATATGACATATTGTTTCACTCTTTTTCACTGGAGCTCAGGCGGTGATGTTAGTGGTTTTACCTGTTCACTTTTTCTTGGCATTGATGTTGGGGAGAGATATTTCCCATGACGGCACTCAAATGCAATCCTTCATAATAGGTTACTGCTACAATTGTATTTGTATTTTATTCAGTGTTTCTTTTTTTGGACTGCCTACAGCTGCTTTAATCATATGAATTCTATCATACTATTTTGCAGATGACAGCAGTGGCTGCTTAGGATTTTTTCCTACAAGTTTGATACTAACATTTCCATAAACTCCAGAGTAGGGCGATGAAGTCCAAATGTCAACATTTATTGAAAAAAGAGAGATGTACTAATTTCCAAACTCACATCATGTTTTTATTTAACCAAATATTTTGGTTAGCTGGATGTGTAAACCAGCAACTGCTTGCCAACAGTTAGCCACGCAAACTTATAAAAAGGTGATAATATATCAATGTTGTGTCTGTAGCTTTTTTAGCCCTAAGTGCTTAAATAAATAATTCATCCGGCTTTAAAGTGTGAAAGCTCATAGGTCTGCACAATTCATTTAAATGTGATCAAAACCACAATATGGGTTCATGCATTATTTGAACAGTAGGAGGTGCAATTTTTCCTAAAATCGTTATTATTCTGAATGTAATGCTGCATAGATGGCCTACAAATATTTTCCTATGGATTTAATAATATATCTTTGTTTGGTACAGAAAATCACAAAATGATCATTTTCAAATGTATCCTCAATGATAAAGGGAATAATAATGCAACATGATCAATCCCTTCAATATTGTATCGGGCAAATAATCACAAGTAGCTATTTCTTCCAAATTGTCAAACCCCAATATAGTCAGATTTAAACAGAACTATGTATAACTGCAGTATGATTTCACTGAAATAAAATGAATCACACTGAACAAAATCAACTTTTTTGTATCCTTATAGCACCAGAGTTACTAGATGATCGTATGTTTTCGTTAATTATTTAAAGATACCTAAATTGAGTCCAGTTAGTACAGTATTAGATTTAAGTCTAAATTAGCAACAGTCTCAGAGTAAAAGTAAAGAAGAATATCGATCCCAGCTTAAGGTATTTGATTATTTTCAATACTTGGTTAAACTGTCATAAAAGTATTGAGTTCTAATTTGTTCAAGCAATTCAGAGATGCTAAAGTGTAAACTGTCAATCAGATTCTGAGTTGCTGTGAAGCGCATCAGTTCTACAGCAGACTAGGTCAAACCCTTTTGTGATGTTTCTTACCTCCACGTCTCGTTTTAGCTTCTCCAAAAAGTACTTCTTGTTGTCGTCTCCTATCTGCAGCTTCTGGCCTTCATTCAGGAAGTCGTTGTCTTTAAAAGTGGGGAGTTCTTTAGCCTGGAGAGAGGGGAGGTGTTTGGGTATTAAACAGTACAGAGGATGATTAGAGGTCCCAGAGCCCTGGAACATACAGACACTGCTGATAAGAGTTAGAATTCACAGTCATAGATGTCTTCTAATGAATAATACAGAGCCATGAGGTCAGAACCCTCGGCCCTTCAAAGATTGCAGGTAAAGCAGAGCCTAAAGTTGGCCTGAGCAACATTTGGGTTTAATTGTTTGGAATTATTATGTTTCTTTTATGTACTAGCAATACATATTTCAGCAAAATGTATAACAAATACTGCAATGTCCACTTTACCTTAATATGGTGCAGCCATAATTGGTACGTTAGCAGAACTTTCACATTGATGTGAAAGCAGGGCTCTGTGTATTTCAATGTGAAAGTGCAATACAAATATCTTTGTGTATGTATATAGAAATATTGTAAGTTGTTAATAAATTAAGTTTTTATGTTTTATAAAATGGATCAGTTTTACCAGTGGTGCAATGTAACAGTACATTCACTCAAGTATTTACTGAAGTACTTTGTTGACACACTTGTACTATACTTAAGTATTTCAATTGCATGCTAAATATACATTGAGTCGACTACACTTGGGAGTTAAATAATGTACTTTTTTCTCCTCTACATATACAGTGCATCCGGAAAGTATTCATACCCCTTCACTTTTTCCACATTTTGTTATTTTACAGCCATATTTCAAAATTGATTAAATTAATTTGTTTTCTCAACATTCTAGACACAATACCCCATAATGACAAAGTGAAAAAGTTTTAAAATCATTTTTGAAATTAATAAAAAATAAAACACTCAAATATCACATGTACACATAAGTATTCATACCCTTTACTCAATACTTTGTTGAAGCACCTTTGGCAGCAATTACAGCCTCAAGTCTTCTTGAGTATGATGCTACACGCTTGGCACACCTATCTTTGGGCAGTTTCTCCCATCATTCTTTGCAGATCGTCTCAAGCTCCATCAGGTTGGATGGGGAGTGTCGGTGCACAGCCATTTTCAGATCTCTCCAGAGATGTTCAATCGGGATCAAGTCTGGGCTCTGGCTGGGCCACTCAAGGACATTCACAGACTTGTCCCAAAGCCACTCCTTTGTTATCGTGGCTGTGTGCTTAGGGTCGTTGTCCTGTTGAAGGTGAACCTTCGCCCCAGTCTGAGGGCCAGAGCGCTCTGGAGCAGGTTTTCATCAAGGATCTCCCTGTACATTGCTGCATTCATCGTTCCCTTGATCCTGACTAGTCTCCCAGTTCCTGCTGCTGAAAAACATCCCCACAGCATGATGCTGCCACCACCATGCTTCACTGTAGGGATGGTATTTACCAGGTGATGAGCGGTGCCTGGGTTCCTCCAGATATGATGCTTGGCATTCAGGCCAAAGAGATCCTTGTTGGTTTCATCAAACTAGATAATTTGGCTTCTCATGATCTGTGTAGTGTATCCGTTTCTCCGTTTTGGAGCCTTGTGTATACTCCATCTACTTCGTACAAATTTCAAATGGGCCGGTCGTACCTAAGATTCATCAATCCAAGAAAAGCGATCGTACGCTCAGATTAGTTACTAAGTCACAAGATGATGTGTCACCTCCTCGGCTAGAGAGGATACGCGAGGAAAGTGTTAATGCTTTAGATTATACGATGACATCAACGGTGGATGGCTTGATAGTGAAAAGAGCTCAGTTTTCATGAGTCATGATACCTGGTGAGGTGTAATCCACGGAGAGAGAGAGAAGGTGATTCGAGAATAACTTTACTTGTAAAACAAATCTCCAATTTGTAAGTGTGTAGTTATTTGTTTATGTGTGGTGGCTTGTGTAGTAAGATGTAATAAAATACAACCTCAAACATTACACCTCAGTTAAGAAGCTGCAATGGTTAAAAACTTTATGACACAAATAATTTCTAATGTGAAGGACGTTTGGTGTTAGTGTAACAAAAGTATGTACTTTTCTATTGTCGATTAAATACGAGAATGTGGTCGACTCATCATAGTGTTATGTCACATAGGCCTGTTCATGAGTATGCGAACTGAAAAAAGTGTAAAAAGGTACAATGGCGCGAATAAAGTTTTTACCGTTATAAGAACAAAGAGTATAAGGTGGTGTAACTATTTGGCGTTATTACTGTCCTGAAACTTATAACCGTGCGCATATAGTACTTTAATCGAAATGATTCAAAGTGTAGTGCGGAAACGAAACTTGTTCACTTTTAACCGAGTCCACGTAGACGGCAAAAGGTGAGCTAAGTACGGAACTCTTACAAAGATATATCGAACTGACCCAGGTGGGGACACCACGTTAAGTTCAATCTAAACTGTGTACGCTGAACCTTTCCTTGTGTGACAGAGACTCCAGGGTGTCAACTTGTGCACGTCGTGTCTCCGTGTTTGGTTTCAGTACTCCAGGTTCCTTAAAGACATCTGGAGGGGTCTCTCGTCCATACATAGGTTCCGTGTCTAGACCCCGGTTAATACATTTTAATGCCCATACGTTCTATTTTCAGACGTCGTTAAGCGCTTGCCGGGCTGGCGGTGTTCGTGTCCAGACAACGAAAGTAGTAAACTTTTACCTTTCTACAAGAGCTTTGGGGCCCATGCGCCGCGCCGCTGGAGGGATACGTCGACCGACCGGGTCTCTTTTGGTGGGGTGGGATTTTGACGCTCTCTCCCGGTTTCCCCCCGCTCCCTCCCCCGAATAGTCTTCTCCACTGGTTTCTGGACTACAGTGAGGACTGTCATCGTAGGTCACAGAGGAACGAGCTCCTCTCCTTCTGCTGTTGGAAGGTCTTCCTGTTTGTTGGAGTGGGTAGAGCCCACGTCCGGAGTTAGAGGTGGTTAGTTCCGGGAAATGACATATGTCTCTCACCCTNTGCTTACACCTATATGCCCTGAGCTGATTATCGAGCCTTCGCCTACACACCCCATTCAAAGTGAATGGGCAGAAGCGTTGAAGCGGCAACGCACGCCGCCGTGTGTAGGCGAAGGCTCGATAATCAGCTCAGGGCATATAGGTGTAAGCAGGGGTAAAGTGCTATTTTTTACAAGAAGTGCTATTTTTTACAAGTGGGGCCCCCCACTTGTAAAAAATAGCACTTTACCCCTGCTTACACTTCAAAAAAAGGTCTAAAGTGCAGAATAATAATAATTCCACCAATAACAATAGGTTTCTCGCACTTCATGCTAGGACGCCGTTGGGTCCTAGCGCTCTCGCGCTCGGGCCCTAATAAGATTGTATCTCATCTTGTATTTGTACTTGCATTTTTGGTTTTGTGATATGGAGCATTAATAAAGTGGGTGTTGATTTAAATATGCTTGCCAGGTTTATATTTGAACCTGGCATGTTTCATTTAGCAAATTTACCTTAAAAAAAACATTTAGATTTGGAAATATGTTTTATTCCAATTGCCTATTACAGGTGTACACCAAGTAATGACCATATATTTCAAAAATAAAAGCAGCGTCTGTGAAACTGTAAAATCTAAAACCATATCCTGCACAAAGTTGTGATCACATTAACTAAATGACTTTTACAAAACTATCTAGAACAGATCAGCCATGATAGCCTGAAATATAAATTATGTTACCATTGTGGAAACAACTTTTCAAAATAAAAGCCCCAAGTGAGCCTGAAGCCATATGGTCCCGTATCTGACAGACTCCCATCACACAATCCTGAATGCATTAAAACAAGCAAACCTGTTCAATACATTGAAGAGACAGATAAAGGAGTGGGTGGCATATTCCAAGCGTTAAAAATCAGTTCATATAATAATTGTGTTTTCATCTCCTCATGAAGTTGTCCAGGGAGGCTGCCGTCCTCTGAATGGAGTGGATATTCCTCCTCACTCTGTCCTCTAAGGAGGAGCTGGATGCACTCTCCAGCTTCATATCACTGCAAGAAGGAAAGGTGAGTGTTACTGGAGTTACAAAACAAGCATGCAAAAGAATGAAGAGACACCTGCAGGACATTATATGTGGATTAAGACAGACAGATGATAAGGTTTCCACAGCCTATGATTATTTTCCGTGTCAATGTTGCTCAGAAACTTACTGAATGAACCCAGCGTGCCGGTCACGCTTGACATTTTTTTCCCGCTGCTTTTCCTGCTCGTCTTGCTTCTTGTATCTCCTCACATTATTCTCCCTGTCCTCATCCCTCTGCTTGGCCTGGTCCATCATCTCCTGCCTCTTGTGCTCCAGCTCTTCTGCAGAGAGCTTCCTACGTCAGACACAAAGAAACATGGGGGAATTACTGGAGTGCATTCAGTGTGGGTGGGGATAAGGCAATGCCTAAGTCAGAATTAGCATTATAAAAGGACGCTTTCAAATAAATATTGGAATGTCTGACGCATCAGCTGATTTAAGAAAGGAAAGGATTAATCAGTTAGTGTTTTTTCCTCAGATTTACTTTTTTTAAAGAATAAAACTTTCTTTGTTCGCAGCAACCTGGAAGTTAAATGGTTATTTTAAACACTTAATGCCAACAAATATGGATTGAAGCAGAATAATGGCTTGGATACATATTTTTGTGACATTTTAATTATATCTATTACTTTCTTTAAATACATTTTAACTTTTGGATTTCTTTTTTCTTTCTAGCGTAGGCACCACTGGAATGTAATTGAGCAAATACTAATACTTATAATATTGTAGTGTAGCTTTGCAAGACAAAACTAAAAGCTGTGCTGACTGATTGCTAATATTCAGATTTGTATAATATACTTGAGAATAATGACTCAAAGCAGTTATTCTGCATATTATCTAAAAAGATAGAGATACTGATATATACCATGGCAGTAAAAAGACAGAAGATTTGAGATCTAATAATGGACGGAAACTCCAGTATTAGATCTTGATCCGTATCAATTCAAAACTTTCATCTGAGAATAGTGAGCATCTTTTTAAATCTGCACAGCTCTCCACTTTGAATACAGTATTCGTCATATTTTACTGTACTCAGTTTCTCACATATTTTATTTATTACAATTAGGGCTGCAACAAACGACTAATTTGATAATCGATGAATCTATCGATGAATGAAATGATTAATCGACTATTCGGACTATTACTGTATATGTTTTTGTAGCAATAATACATATGACATATTTTTTTTAAATGTCTCCAGTACCGATAAAAAGACCAATACAATGGAGCTTAACGGCGCCTAAAACACACGTGATGACGTCACCAACGAATCGACGACTGAATTAGTTGGCAACTAATTTGGTAATCGATTAAGTCGATTAGTTGTTGCACCCCTAATTACAATAATCTTAAAATAGCTTTTATAATAGTACTGTTATAGTATTCTTCTTTCTATGTCTTTGTATGCACAATTTTTACCAAAGGAAATTCCTCTCGTGTAAAACTTAATAAAACCGATTCTGATGTCAGTATTTGGACTATAGCTTCTGTGAAGTCTTACTTGGCCACAGGGTGCCTCGGTCTCTGGTAACGGTCTCTCTGTTGGCTGGGGGCTTTGGGCTCGTTCTTCCTGTCGCCTCTGTGTGAGGAAGAGGAGTGGGAGTGGCCCTCCTGTCTGTTCCTGTGAGGCGACCGGGAGCGGCTCCTCTCACGGCGCCCGGAGTGGGAGGGAGCGGAGGACTGGTGATGTCTGCCAGCCGGGAACTGAGAGGGGAGAGCCACATTAATGACTGGAGTTGTAAATGCATGGTAAAAAGCAGTATATGAAATAGTGCTTTGCTGCTAACTGACCTGCAGGCCGTAGCCCGGGACATGATGGGAACGAGACTTGGTGTTTGTTGAAGATTCATCTCTGGAATGTGACCTGAAAACAGATCAAAGACTATAATAAATAATAAAGCCCTTTGCACTAGATGATTGATAAAAAGTGAAAGTCCCTCACTTCAGCTTTCAACAGTCCCCTCACATACCTGTGTTTCTTCTCCTCCTCCTCCTCCTCCTCCTCCTCCTCTGAGCTTGAACTCCTTCTCTTATGCTTCTTCTCTTTTTTTCTCTCTTTGTCTTTCTTCTCCTTTTTGTCCTTCTTCCTCTTCTTCTTCTTGTCGAGATTCTGGCGCAGCTGTGTGAGAACCAACCAATCATTTTACAAAATATAAAAATGCAAACTGAAGTTGTCTTCTGTTAATAAAGTTAGTAGAATCATTACTGGAAGTTGCAGAGGAAGGAACAAATTGTCAGATATGAGTGAGTTTTTTTATTTATTAACATTTTGTCAAAGTTAGCATGTTAGAAAATATCACAGAAAGAGATCTTAAAATATGTATATATTACAAAAAATTGTTTTTTTTTTACCATTTCCTTAATTCTCTTCATCTTCACTGGATTACTCAAGACTTCTCTCTTCTTTTCTTCTTCACGTTTCCTTTAGAAAACCAACAAAACATGATTATATTAAACCTTTGCACCTGGTAGCATATTTTCAGAACAAATGACCAGAGATACGGGCCCCACTTACCTGATTTCAAACAGGGGGTCTTCCCTGATCTTAGCAGCCAGGTCGAGGTTAGAGGCGGGAGTAGAGGGGTTGAAGATGGAGCCGGGCAGGAGGCCGGTCTCAGCTGACGGGCCGCTCTCGGGCTCCTCGTATTGGTCGGTGATCTGCTTATCGATGGCACGTCCCATCAGGTACTCGTCTCTGGACACCTGGCCGGCGGGGCCCTGGTACATCCAGTCCAGCCGATCATCCTTCTTCCTGTCATCAGATAATATATGAATCAGAAACTCATTTTCTGAGAACCACAAAATAACTTTCATTACAATATCAGAGAACTCACTTGATGGATCCTGCTGTCTCTGCAAATCTTGTTATTTCTTCTCGGGCTCGTTCATCTTTCAGTTCCTTCTGGAGTTCCTCAATCTTCTTGCACTCGGCCTCATGTTTCTGTTCAGCTTTCCAAACACGTTCAATGTTTTTCATAGTCTGGGGATGCCAGCTCTTTTTCAAGTTCTGGCAGAAGACAAGATGGACAACATTTAGTAGCTCTTACTTTAAAAACGATCATGTACCAGCGTTAGCGTAAACTTCATTTTGTTAATAACATTTTTAACTTTACCCTTTTAACCAAAACTTTCCACATACCCAGTATGTGTATACAAATCTGATGGCTAACATACAATCTACAAAATAACATTTTCGGGTGTATGCACATACATTTAATGTGTGCCAGAATATTTCAACGAAAATCTCAACTTTAACAGTTGACACTAACATCTAGCTAGTGGTGTCAAGTAACTGATTACATCTACTCAAGTACTGTAATGACGTACAATTTTGAGAGACTTGTACTTTATTTGAGTATTTAAATTGTATGTTACTTTGTACTTCCACCCCACTACAGTTCAGAGGTAAATGGTGTACTTTTACTCCACTACATGTATTTAATACCTTTAGTTACTTTACAGATCTGGATGAATGATGTGAAATATAACCAAGTGTTAAATCAGACTTTAGTTCTATCTGGAGTAAATTCACAAGCTACCCTGCAACCCTGCAGTATACAAATTCATTCAAACTAGCTGCACCTTTACCAGCTTTGAGAACACTTTCATGATCAATCATTATAAAACATATCATATATATTATTCTGAAATGGACCAATCTGCACAATGACTACTTTGGTACTTTAAGTATATTTTGATGCTAATACTTTTGTACTTTTACTTGGGTAACATTTTGAATGCAGGGCTTTTACTTGTTACAGGGTATTCCTACACTCTGGTACTTCTACTTTTACTCAAGTGCAAGATCTGAGTACTTCTCCCAGCTCTACATCTAGCTAACGGCCAGCTCGTTGACCTTAAGCTAACGAAAATAAGCCGTTACTTTCAAACTATTAAAATATAGGAATGGTCTAAAACGAAAGTGTGCCGAGCTGAGGAAGCGCTTTCCCATTCCCAGTAGACATTAGCTCATGTTGTAAAATATGTATAGACACCAGTAAACAAACGACCGTCTTTTAATGACTATATTGTCAATGGAATTGTGTATCAATGGTCTAATAACAGAAAAGCGGTTTAGATAGCTCGTACTTACCAAATCGCCTCCCCCCATCTTGAAAAATTCCTCGTTTCAATACAACAATAAAATGAAATAGACAATTCTGTCCCACAAAACTGGAGAAAACAAGTTCAACACTAGCTAGAAAATGGAGCCACCAGGACTTGTGTGTGATGTGTTTTTTAAATTTCCTGTTGTGGATCATTCTCTTTCCGGTTACAGCTAGCGGTGCTTTTACGTACCCGGCATAAACTCTGGGCATTACAGCTCTAGCGTCTTGAATAAACTATTGACGCCATGACATAACGTTCCCTTGAAGTAGTTTTAACCTCCGTTAATATAACGTGTGTAGATGATTTAGCAGCTGTTACTACCACAAGCTGTTACATTGTGGTATTAAATGTATCATGTTTACCATGAATGTATTGAACAGATGGTTTCAGTATGAATCATCCTTATGTTTTAGTGCAACTTTGAATTTCTAACAGCACCTCAAGCCGGCATCTCGACGATGAAGGCAAGTACGCAACTCAGAATGAAAATAGCTTAAAAAGAGTAATTCGTACCTAACCTTGTAGTTAATTTTGTGGGACGTATGAAATATGTGAACATATTCAATATTTCAAAACAATTCACAATGCCCCACTTGTGAAATAAATTCAGTAATAAACATAAGATAAATGCTTTGATATAGTGAATTCAGAAAGTATTCAGACCTCTTCCCTTTCTTACCTCCGTATTTTGTTGCAGCCATAAATTGACACTTAATACACAACAATAATAAAGAGGAAACAGGATTGTATAACTTTTCAAATGTAAAGGTCTCCCATTTATCTTGATAATCGTTGACATGATTCAACTGAATGATCATGAGTTCGAAACGTAAAAACCTTTTTATAAATACTTACAGCTCACGGGCCCCCAAGAATAATTGTGTATGATTTTTACAGTAAATGCTGTACACAGCCTTACAGTATCAAAAACTTCTTCACTGATCACTTCATTAATTCCCTCCAGCTGAACCAGGGGTGTTGCTTGGATCTAGCAACATTGGGGGCTTTAGCCAAGTTTGACAATTGTACTTTCGAAAATATATATGTATATCAATAGAGTATACAAGAATACACAATATGAAGTGTAAATAATGAATGAAAACTCTCTGTAATAGACCAATCTACCACCCAAACAGACACACATGGACATCGGGTACTCTATAAAAGTAAAAAAGAAGAAAATCAATATGGTAGTAAAGCAAGAAGATGTTTTCCGTCATAAGAATTTAATACATTTCGAGAGCATCACACTTTTAATATAGGACTTACTGTAACTGTAAGCCCATATCATCTTATCGAGAAAAAATTAATACAAAATCACTGTCACTGAGGGCCCCTTTAGCTCAAGGGCCCCTGGGCAGATGCCCAGGTTGCCCATATGGTAGATCCAGCCCAGACTATAAGTACTTTGACTAAAACTACTTTCATCTTTACTCTTAATAATTATACTAGTAATAATATAATAGTGTTGTGTGTTGTCATAATTAATAAAACATTTAACAGCAAATAATAGCTGACAGTTAGCACATCTTCCATAAATAAAATTTCAACATGGACACAGAATATAATTTTTTTTATTTAAAAGACAACAATAGATTAAATACAAGTTATTACACCATGATACTTAACTTATTAAACGTTTTAAAATCTATTTTATTGCAGTCAACTAAAACATTTACTATAGCAACCAATTCAAAAATGTGTCCATCTTGCTCTACTGACCAACATAGAAAAGACTATCAATAACATCAACAACAAATAATATTATTAATACTCAAAACACAGCAATTGACTAATGTTTAAACATGGTCTTCCATTTATTATATTCTATACATAAATACAGCAATATTGAGCCTCCAATAATGCAAGCCCCTAAGATAAAGACATCTCAGCCTAATGACTGTGATTGGTTACATACATCCTAATAGTGCTGCTCACACTGCCCGCTACAGAACTAGTGATCAATTCATATAGATTATGAAAGTTAACCTTAACAAATTATTCTGCCTGTTGTTTTCTTGCATTTTGTTTCATTAGCTAGATTGCTAGCAACCTTTTTCTGCATGCTTATCCAGAATCCAATGGGTGTCGTGTTACAAAAATGGTTTGTTAAATGAGTTGAAAAACTACAGACACACAAAGAGATCTTAATCTAATGTGTTGAGAGATAAGCCCTTTACAGACTGTTTGTCGATAATTGCGACTATAGCTTGATCCAACATGCAAATAGGTATCGAGCTGATGGTATTTTGAAGAAATGCATCAACCCACATAATGAGGTACACCTGGATCAGTAGGAAATCCTGTGACCTGTGAAGCAGTATCTTTTATTGGCCACTTGGGAGCGGCAAAAAAAACTGTAGATGCAAAATTGACATATTTTTACCGTTTAAAGACGTTGACGTGGATGAGAGCTGTGAAAACACAATATAGTTTGGAGATGGAAAACCGAACAATACCTCGGTGAAAGACCTGTGTTTCTTTGGATTTGCCCGTTTAAAACAAATGTGATCAAGGACATATACACAAAAGAAAAATGACAATGTAATTTAGTTGAATGGGAACAATGTTTTTCTATGGGCAAGTAATTGAATCTATTGGTTATATAAAAACATTGTTTGGTGGAGCTTTAAATCTTGTGCTTGCAGAGGGCACTGTGGTAAACTACCCTGCTTAGTGTAACTCAGCAACAGCACTGTTGACATACCGCCCTGTGGAGTCCAGTTGATGCCAAATATGATCGCTGTCATCAGCATGTACCAAAGGATTTCTTTAATCAGGCAGCATTTTCTCTCCACGTCCATTTTTTGTGATCATGACGCTAAGCTCTTCCAGTGACTCTGACTCCTTTACAATTGTTTCTTTTTTTATATCATTGTCACATCTTGTTGTTCTCATCTGGTAACCTGGACCAGTGTTCACATTCTCATCATTACGTGTTATGCCAGAAGTGGCAACAGAAACACACATTTTTGGTAAATACGCCTTTGTAGTGCATTCAATTCCCATTTTTATATTATATTATATATTCACCAACATTATAGCATGCTGCCATAGCATTATTGTCTGTTGTATTTTAGTAAAAGTACAATTTAATCACTTACAACATCCACACACACAGTTCTGTCGCACAAACTTTCACCATCCAAATGGCAACTGACCGTTTAAAAACGACATGCTGTATTATGTTCCAGTGGCTTATCACAACTTGCGCAGAAGGATACACACCATCTGAGACTTATACAAAAAACGGTCTCTTTTCTCCGTTCAAAAGCCTTTGACATTAGTGTATTAAACTGTATTGGAGACAACATTTCTCCAACACCTCCAGCAATACATTTGATTCATTTCTTTGTAAACAAGTTGCTACCTTCAGTTAATCTTTGGTCTACCGGTAGCAGAAGCTCTAGCAGCAACAGAAGTCCAGCAACAAGCTGCAGCTTCAGCTTGATCGCCTCCTTAGCCACCTTTCACTTGAATCCACAGAATCAGTCAATTATACTATGAATAAATTACAGTTTTTCTGTGTGCTAAAACATTTATACTATCAGAGTTTGCCTAGTTGATAGATACACAAGAAACACGTTCTGTCCCATCAGACTTCCATCAGTGAAAGTTTGTCCAAACCTTTTTTCTACTTTCTATTCTATTGTAAAACCAAGACACCTCTATGATAAAGAGGGAAAAAAATGTTAGCCCTTAACTGCAAAAAATGCCTCAGAAAGTGAGGAAATTACCCAGACTGCCCTGTCACACTGGAGACTGAGGGGTCCGTCTCACATTTCAGCTTCAGTGGTGGCTCTGTGTTGTCGGACACGTTTGAGGAAGACTGAGGAGGGGTGGGTGTATCGAAGCCTTTATCCATCCTCCCGTCTCCATTCACCCTCTCCTCCCCGTGTCCTGGCGGGGACTCGTGTGTGCGCATGTGTTTGGCTAGGTGGTCATTGCGCATGAACACTCTGGGGCATAATGCGCAGCTGAACTTCTTAGCACCGGTGTGCGTCTGAAGGTGGCGCTGCAGTTCATCAGAGCGTGTGAATCTCTTGCCGCAGAAGAGCCAGTTGCAGACGAAGGGCCGGTCCCCACTGTGCCATCGCAGGTGAGCCTTCAGATGCGAGGTCTTGGCGTAGGCTTTGCCGCAGCCGGGGATGTGGCAGTTGTGCATGTGCTTCCTCCTGCTGTCATCCGTGCTCTGGCCCAGCTGTTCAGCATGCACGCAGTTAGGGCAGCGACACGCAGTCTGGCCCCCGCCTCTGGAGGAGGAGCGGCGCTGAGGCTTGGGCCGGGCGGAGACAGCGTTCTCCTGCGGTTCCTCCAGGGTGTACGCTTCTTGTTGCAGCATTTCAGGGGCCATTGGCTCCATCTTGAAGCCATCCTGAGAGAAGAGGTGGGATGAGTGCGAGGCTGGAGCAAGTTGAGATGGAGGCAGGTTGCACAGGTGTGGGTCGGATCCGTAGGGCCCTAAAGAGTGCTGCAACCCCATGGAGCTCCCAGGATTTACTGAAGGCAAGCCGACATTCTGCCCCGTCTGTAGGTCAATCCAGCTCCCTGTTTGGACGTCCCTGTGGAGTTCCCACCAGGAGGGGATGTTCATGTCTTCTGAGCTGCCACTTGGGGGTGCTGTCCGCAACCAAGGCTCGTAAGGGTGGGCCATGAGGGAAGCTGGGCAAGGTGCTAGACTGTTGATGGGGTTGGCGGCTCAAAATCTTGTTCACTATATTTTGGGTAATGCTTAGAAGATTAGCACATGTTGAGATGGCGGTGTGTCCAAAAACCTGCTGAAAGAAAGAACAGACAAACTGTTATATCTTCAAATCTGGTATCAACTTCTCACTGTGTTGCATTTTCTCAATGGCTTCACTGAACTACATGCAATGACTTCAAAGCCTTGAGGTCATTTTCCCCCACTCTGAAAGACTTTGAAATACTCAGCCTTTGCTGATCTAACGTTTCTGAACTTCAGAAGTGCAGACATTCAGGCCTAAATCCTTCTGTCTACAACATTTAAACCCTAAGCACACCTCCTTCATTGCCATGGATACTGCCGTTCTCACGCTGCGTGGCCGAGGAGGCAGGAAAGAGGGGGAGACAGACGTGTCCAGGCAGAAGCCTGCCACATGCATCTGCTGCCAGGTACTTCCCATGGAGGACAGTCAAAGACAAGCGCAAAGAAAACAACATCATTGGCCCAGTGCAAGGCAAAGGCAGTGGGGGGGGGGGACAAGAGTGAAGGGGAGTGTTGACAGGAGAACAGTTTGGTAAAGGAAGAAGTTCCAGGGAGGTATGGCTGCGGGCCAAAGTCTATTTGTACGTCTCTGAGGTTTGTGGAGATGAAACCTGGCAGACAGGAGAACCTGTTTTTTATGAATCACACATGATTTACAACAGGCCTCCAGGCAAGATACAATAGGAGCCCCGTAAAACGGCCCGCCTCGAACACACTGGCGGCAGAAAGCATCAACAGTTGCAGACTGACGGCATTCAGGAGCCTGAGAATGGGAGGGAAACAATGACATGAGAACAATACTTTATTTACGTAATTATGGGCACACGCTCTAAAACAGCATCCTGTCCCCGACACGCTTCAGGTATGTCCGTTTGTACACGCCACTGCAGCGTCAGTCAGAATGAGGAGGGGCTCTGATTTCAAAGGTGACATAAAGCTTGGTAATGTTGGACAAGTCTGTGGAAATCCATGACAAGAAGCTACCGGCCTACAAGACCTGTGCTCGGTTTCAAACATGTCCCTCCCCCAAACAATCTTGTTGACTTCCACCACACCCCCATCCTCCAACATCTACAATTATCTTTACAGCAGGAAACAGTAAAGAAGGCTGAAGCTATGCTGTCTTAATCTTGATCACTTGCTGTGAAACCATATCTGATGGAGCAAGCTGCAAAAGGTTGCCAAAAGACAATAGGTCAACTCCATTGGAAGACATGCAACCTCTCTGATATGTTGATCAGGTGGAGCGTAGACACAGTCGGTGTAACTCTGACTGACAGTGAAGGAACCCCTCATTAAATCCAAATTTGTTGAGTCAATACAGCCAAACCAAGACCATTACACGGCCTTCTCAAAGGTTCAGTCAAAGCAACTCAGAGATACTTTCTGGTCGCAATGAAATCGTAAAGCAATTAGTTTGGAATTCCCTAATGAAAGGTCTGGTGTTAAAGGTCAAGCTGATTTATTTCATGTCGGCCTGGAGCCAGAGTCGCTGCTCTGTAATCTTTTGGGAATGTGACTGGGATGCACAGCGGAATGGTCCCCACAACTCCACTCTTACTGACACAACCGTAAACAAACCAAGACACCAGCATCCGCCTCCGCTCGCCAAAGTGCTGGGAGTGCCAGGAGCTCCTGAGGGAAACAGCTGGCATAGAGGGGCCCCCAGGGGGAGGGCAGCCCTTGAGGAGGAGGATGGTACAGAGCAATGACAGAGCTCTGGTCATAAAACCTGCCCGACCAAGACCCAGCACGGTCCCGCTTTATAGGTCTGCCATAGGGAAGAGGCGCAGACAGGGAACAAACTCTTTTCTAGATTTCTACAACACTTCAACAAGTGAGGCACATACACATCGCAGCCTACTAACACTACCTCACAGGATATATTGTACTTTAAGTTTCAAGCCACTTTCTATGTTAAATAGATTGGTATATAAGATAGTGTTTGGATACGACTCTGAATGTTTTATTTGTATTTTATTCTATTCTTAAAGGTGGGGTAGGTAATTTTGGAGAAACCAGCTAGAATTTGAAAATACACAGCCGGAAAAAATCTGCCACTTCCTTACAGAGCCCCTCCTCCAACACACACAAACGCGCACATGACCAATGAGGGCACGAGATAAGTTTGTGCACAGATGGAAGGCTGACAGGCAGGTAGGCCATCCTGTTATTTTAGCCGGCCCGGCTCGTGCTTTTTACAGTACTACGGCTTCCACGGATGACATTTTTTTATGGATTTTTTGTCAAAGCACATATTCACATATATATACATATATATATTCATTGCTATCGGGATGTTAAGATCATTCCTTGGAATATAACAAAAAGTGTATCTCGAGCCGGTTTCTCTAACTTACCTACCCCACCTTTAAGTAATTTTGTAATTCTTGTAGATTGTCAATGCTGTGACATAATAATTTCTCAACTTTTTCTCAACAATAAAGTACCTATTGATCTATCTATCTTTTCCTGAGTTTTAATACACTTCCAGACTTGTTTCTTCTGATTTGAAAGCTAATAATTGTGATTTTCAAGACTGATAATCTGCTCGTTTTAATTTTGAGGCCTTATTTCCAGAATAGTTTCGGGATTACTTTTTTAAAATGTATTCTGCCATTCAAAAAATGGGAGTAGAGCAGATCAATTCGACTGGGACCAGGTCAGTTGTCAGAGTGTACCACGATGAAAAAAAAAATGTTGAGCCTGGAAATGCTTGACATCACAACAAAATGTTAAACTTGAAGAACTTGTGTAAAGATCAAAGTCAGCCAGCACAACAGTTATTCAAAACCTGGTGAGTGCAATAGTTAGGGGCCTTTAAACAGAGTTTCTTTTAGAACGCTATGCTTGATTTGAAAAGGTAATCTGCACACCTGGGTGGAGGTAAGGTTAGTGAGACACAGAGCTGGAAGTGGAAGGCTGATCTGGTCTAATCGGTTCCAAGATAGCTTAGATATGGATGACAGTTTGACATGTTCAGTGATTTAGAGTGTCTGTGTGACACTATAAATCACTGAACATAATTGCGTAGAATGCATTTTACTGCATCTCATTGAAATATGTACTGCAGTTGTTGGGACATCTTTAAGGAGCCTTTTTGTTTCCTTCTCTCTTGCAGTAAACAAATTGCAAGAGAGAACTGACATTTTCAGAGCCTTCATTTGTAAACCAACATAAATCAAATACAAGTGTATTTTTGATCAAGTTTGCACCTAATTTCCACTTAAAAATGTAAAAGCGTACAAACACACACTGTCGTGTTTCAACAGGACTTTTTCACTATACTATTTGATGTGCTTGTTTAAGTATTTATGTTGAAATGGAGACAAAGATTAAAAAACAAACACGTAGACAGAATGTCATGTTAAATAAGATGTACAAAATGTGACATAATGTGATATGTACAGTATATACAATGGTTACTAAGAATATTACTTTTTCCGTGCAGTTTTAATGTATATATGTACCTACCTTTAGTTTAAAAATGTCCATTTTAATCTGTATTCTATTTTAAACATTATGTGTATTATAATACTTTTCATTATAGAATAAAATTTCACATACAAACATCCAATCGGTTGATACAAACGTGAACTGTTTTAGGTTAAACTACCCCAACATTAGTCAAAATGTGCTTTACCTTTTGATCCATTTACAGATTGAATTATCAATAATAATAATCCAATACTATGACAATATAACACCGACATCCCATTCTGCATATCTGTACTTGAATGTGTTGTCCTCTCATCCCATATAGTTAGTTCTATGATTGAACTTAGTCAAACTTTTAAAATAAGACTTGTATTTGACTTTGTGGTATTGCTACTTTCCCTACAGTAAATGATTTGAACTCTTCCACCACTATATATACACATGTCTTATTAATAAGTCTTGCACTTGGTCAATCGTCACTGTCACTCCATGGAATTGTTTTTCCAAATAAAACCTTTTTCTAAACAAAGATAACTAATTCAAACTATTAATTACAATAAATCCCGTAAATCCTATCATGTGCACTTTGAATAATAATTTGAATTAAAAATCTTCACTGGGTCCCTTGGGGTTATTACTACAGGGAACATATACACATGATATGGCCGTATACTTTACAGTGACAAATGGGAGAAACAATTACATTAAACCAGAATTTAAAATGAACAGCATCAACAAGTCACGGCAAATTTCTAAAAAACAACATAATGGACAGATTTCCTTCCTTCCTTTCTTTCAAACTGAATATGAATGTGAGTCCTATAATGTGGTAATTGCTTTAAAGTGAAATATGTTTTAAGATTTTAAGACTGCATAATAATTTGTACTTGAGTAAATGGCACACCAGGCTACATCCCATTGGAGCTAACCCTCCACACCTACAGGTCAAGTCAATATAATATTAACTATAATATTAAACCTCAACTTTATATTACTATAATCTACAGAAATTAATGTTTTCAACTTTTGTATCAAAATAAATGCTTTGACTTCATTCTTCAGACCCCACAGCCAGCAATCTTAAACTTCAGTTGTAAAAAACAATTGACAATATATTGTCATTTCATATATTTACAGTGGGGTAAGATACATCAGATATTTTACTTATGTAAAACTAGAAATACTAAAGTGTTAAAATACTTCGTTACAAGTAAAAGTTATTTTCTTCTTCTTTCAATTACTTTATATATTATTGCTGGATATCTTTAACTGTTATGATATATCATAGTGTATTTATATTTTGTTTTAGCTTAAAATCAGAATCTGTAAAGTAATTTGTAACTCATTTTGTCATAGTAAAAAGTACAATATTGGCTTCCAAACTGTTGTGCCCATGCCATTGGTGTATAAAGAAGCATAAACTAAAAATACTCAAGTAAAGCACAAGTAGGCTACCTCATATCGATATCGTATAAGTACAATACTTGAGTAAATGTACTTCAATACATTAAACCACTGTTTATTTAACTTTAGGTCTCAGGGTCTTCTCGTGGGAAATATATGTTAATTATTTCTCCAAGTCAAACCAAAGCATGGTTAATAAAGCAATGTAATGTTGAGATATATTCATTTATAGTGGAGTAACAGACGCTTATCTCGCAGGGAGAGAGAGGTTACCTGTTAGTGCTGGAGCTACTGAGTTATTCTGAATAAATGCAGCTCGTAGTCTCAGCTCTGCTTCTTCTTCCCGTCGTCGACAAACGTGCACAGGATAATATCCTCATCATATTTCATCTGATTATCTCCATCGCTGACGGTCAAAGTGAGGCAGTATGATCGTTTTGGCGCACAGGTAAGCAGTATGGTGAGTAGTGAGAAACTTCATGATAGGCTGTGCATCTTCAGTGCCTCCAGGCCCCGCCCCCCGCTCGTCCCGCTCCCCCTTGGAGATGCGCCCTCCCCGGCTGGAGGTGAGGACACGGCTCGCTTTAAAACCCGGGATCAATGAGACGGTCTTCAGACCTTCAGAAAATATATTTATTGTGAGGTAAAGTCCAGTGGTGTAATGTAACTAAACACATTTACTCAAGTATTGTACTTGAGTAAAACATACTTGTACTTTATTTGATTTTTATTTTTGTGCTACTTTATACTTTTACTACAGTTTTTTTTTTTAACACATATTGTTCTTGTTAGGGTTAGGGTTACCTCTTATTTTTACTTCACACATTTACATATTTAGTTACTTGAATATTTAGGTTTATTTATACAAAATGTAAATCAACACACATAATTCAATATTATTATAGGTTAAGCTACCCAGTTTATTGTATAAAGTATTTCATGTAAACCCCCCTTTTACCAATGATGAACACATTAATGCACTTATAATTTTAATAGAGTAGCTAATTAAAATACTTAATATATCTGGTGTTTAAAAGGACCATTTTGCATAACGTGTACCTTTACTTTTTGTACTCAAAGTATTTTTTTACACTACTTTTTTACTTTTACATAAGTACAATTTTGAATTCTTTAATTACTTATACAAAATAAAGTAACTGAGCACTGCACAGTATACTTCTTCCACCTCTGGTTACGTCTAATCCTATAAAAAGAGGCTAGCTTAATATTTGTTTTCTGTTTTAATGCAAGTGACATTTTTAAAATGTATATAAGTTTAATTTAGCTCTTTTATTGAAAATGCTTGTTTGAACTAAGAGCAGCCTGGCGTGTGGTTATATGCAATTTAAAAAAGTCTTACATTCTAGTGTACATGTTTTGACAATTATCCATTTTTACTTTATATTTAGGGTTTTGTGAACATAAACCCTTTTTTGTTGTAATTGCCGTACAAAATAGTTTTGGCTTTAGTATACTGTGGGCAATCATTTTTGTCAATAAACAATAGTAGACCTTTTTACATTTTGTAAGTAGCTCCACAATCTGCTAGCTCAATCTGCTAAAACCATGACATTTTGTTGAACAATTGTGGTTTTCTGTTTTAACAGCGACATGATTATTATTCTTTCACACAAGTTTCATTCCACTCTTTTATTTGTTTAATATATCCAATACTTTGGGAAGACTGCATTTTCCTTCTTTGCATCAAGGAATAATCATACTAAAATTAAAATGAAAAAAAATTGATGTCCATTGATGGATTTAATGTCATCATATGTGGCAATAAAGGCATGTGGTTGTTTGTGTGTTTTATTGTATTGTGATTTTGTATGGACCTTTGCCTGGTCTCTCTTGTAAAATGTGAGATTATAAGGGGCCGGGAAAGGGCGTTGGGGAGCGGCGACAGAAGAAGGGGGAAGACGTTAGCCAGGCAGGCAGCTGATTTCAGCTGGCTGAGAATAGCTCCTCATTGTGCTAAAATAGATATGACTTGTCATTTCCATATAGAGATTAATGTGTAAATAAATGGGTTCAGGTAGACGCAGCCGCGAAGACAACGCGTGTTCTCTCCGAGAGTGAGAGCGGGGCGCTCAATGCGGGCGGTGCAACGGAGCGTGTTGTGTCGCGTACGAAACAGCGCGCAACGGCGGGTCTGGGCGCGCAGAGAGAGGGTCGGGGCGTGGGGCAAGGTGGTGTGTGTGGTCGAGGGGCCGAGAGGGGCGCGCGAGACAAGGAAGGAGGGCGCGGCGCGGCGGCGTGGTCGGGCGGGCACTTCTCTGTTCTCCTGGACAAAGCGGCAGCACAGACGGCTGCTGCGCTGGCACAGGCACTCAGCAGGTCAGCGTATTGTATGAGTTAGGGCAGTTTCATAACATTTTGACTCGCGTGTTTGTGTGATAACAAAGTAACGTAGGTAAACAAAACAAAATCGATAAATATTAAATTCTATGCCAAAACGTCCACACCTGGATGCATCTGCTAGATTAGACCCACAGTAGTTCCCCCAAACCCCAACTAAATGATTATGGACTTGAATAGTTTAAATTCTGTAGCCGTAGTTAATCAGACCATGCTCTTGCATTAATCACATTGGGAAAAAACGAGTAAATCTTGATTACAGTTACTTCGGTAAAAACTGAGTGGGAATACATTTTGGAATACTTAATTGGAATTAGGGGGAAAGTTGCCGCACAAATGGAATACCGACGCGGGGGGGAGGATCGAGGCGCGACCACTGTGGCACCATACTGCACAGGCGCACTGCAGCATGTCTGTGAGGCGACTAGTGAGAGAGAGGGGGCAGTAGTATGTGTTATCTTGTGCTAATTATATATATATAATAGAGGAGGGCGGGCGTAGGGTCAGGGAGCCGCTGCATACGTTACATACAAACATATTCAGAAAACTATTTCTGC